TGGCGGCAGCGGGGCGAATCGCCGGGCGCGGCCACGCGCCGCGCGGCATGGCCGGGCGCGGCACCCGTCCCCGGGGAGTGACGTCACGGCCGCTGTGTGGCGGGGGATATCACGGGCACGTGAAGCGCTCGGTGCTGCTCTTGGGTCCCGGCACGCGTGTTTGCTGAGTTGTCTTTAAGGAAATTTGCCTCGGTGGTGCATCTAGAACTTAGACCTAGATCTTTTCCTTTCCCGGGTTATCATTGTGAGCGGCTGTAGTAAATTGTTGCAACGAAAGGTTCTGCAATTGTGTTTTCTGGGGAAAAAAATAGATCTGCATCAGATCTTCTTTACTGGCTTAGTAAGTGCTTATCTTTCAGGAGTGTAAAGTGTTTTAGTTAAAGCTAGAGTCTGATGTGCTTTCATTCCTAGAATAACTAATGTCTTGGCAGAAAATGTCTTTCCAATATATATAAATATTAGCTATGATTAATTTTACATACCTATGTTGAAAATGACTAATTTCATCTTTAATTACCGTGTGTCACTTTGAACACTGGTGTGCAGAGTTCTCTGTTTCCATTTGAGCAAATATTCCAGGTGTTTCCAGTCCATGCTTTAACTGAAACAGGCCTTCATTCCTTTGCATTTCACTGCTCTCACCTCCTAGGGCTAAGCCAGCAAAGCACAAAATGCTTTGCTAATGTAGCAGCTGCCTTCAAAGGCAAGGTGCTGTTTAGCTCTGTGTTTATCTCCAGAATAGCCCTTTGTACCGTTCTTCATCTACATCTTCCCTGACTTCGGAAGTTCTGCCCTTTACTTAGTACATTTATCTGGGTCAGTGAGTTGCCAAGTTTGTTCACGGTAGAGCATTTCCTACATGCAGGAAATGTAAAGATCTTTTAAAGGTAATTATTCTACTGCCTCAATAAGGATGGACCCTAATATCTTTGTTATCTAGTGCTGTTGATGAGTGTTTGGAAGTGTTTTCTTTTGCTGAATGGGGCTATTGGGGGTAGATATTTTGTAGATCCTCTGAATACTTATTTGTTTGGCTTTAAAACATGATAACAAGCAGATCCCTTATGGTAAACCTATCTTTGCAACAGCTTGTACATACTTGGCAGGAGCTCCAACCCAGTGATGGGCACCATTTAATTAGCAAGTCACTTAACTATCACACAGCATTATTGTTTTGTCTGAAGGAAAAAAGGTGCATTTCCTAATTAATTTGTAACAACACAAGCAGCCCCCTTTGAGACCCTGAGTGCAGGAGACCAGCTGCAGATGCCCAGCTCAAGGCTCCTACACAGCCCCGCTCACTGCTCAGACCTCGCTGTCCTTCATCCCTTTTGCTCCAGGTGTCCTTACTCAACTGAAATGAGCGTTAAGTTTAGCAGCTTCTTCCTTCTCTCGCAATGAACTTCCAGCATAGCAAGCAGATTCCTTGTACATTTGGCTGGTTTGATGAACATTTCCAATTGTAAGTAATGGTTACAAAAATATAATGGACAAGGCTTCAGAAGAAAACATACAAAGCATATAAACAAAGCACAGACAATTATAAGTAATCCATATATGATCTTAATTCAAGACCCAGACCATTTCCACAAAATCCAAGCGTCTTCTTGCTGCAGTGGCCATTTTATTTTTTTTTAATGAATTAGTCAGAGATGTAAGTGCAACATACATAAGTACAATGAGAAATAGTCTCTTTGTATGTTATCACCTCATTTAAAAAAAAAAACTAATTATTTTAAGCCCGAGCTCTTTTTAAAATCACATATTTATCTTGGATTAAGAGTTGCAGCAACAAATGTTACACAGCCTATAAGAAAGGAACATCCTGCCTAAATACTTACACACTTAGGTTAAAAAAAAAAAAAAGGAACTTGTAAGTCAGTATGGCCCTGGGGATTTGATATTAATAATTCCATGCAAATAATCTGTTTTAATGTCATCTTAAATCGATGTTTGAGCAGCTTTTCTCTTACTGAAGTTCAGATTTGAGGGGTTAAAGAACTTTTTTTTTCTAAATCCAAGGCCTACAAACCACTAATTTTTTTATTAACAGAGGTAAAGCAGTATTTTCTTGGAGACGGGTTGTTTTGTGAGGAAGCGACAAGCCCAGCCGCACGGAACACCTAAAGAAGGCCCCGTTGGAAGCGGCGGCTCCAGCCCCCGCCTCAGCGCCGCTCTGGGCCGGCGCCGCGCGCCCGCGGCCGCGCTCTCC